GCGCAGCGGGTAGTGGCATCTCCCGCAGCTCTTTCAAATTGGCAGGGTGGGGCCAGGTATTGCCGGGGGCAGCTGCTTACCTGGAAATGCCGCCCCTGGAAATGTGCTGCCCCAAGCACGTGCTTGATTTGCTGGTGCCTAGTGCCGGCCCTGGCCCGCTGGTACCTCAGCCTCCTGAAGGCAGTGAAAATGGAGTCGCTGGGCTTGGGGGCAACAGACAGCAAGACCAGAACCTCCTCCAGTGATGCTGGCAGACGGGTGATTAGAGCCAGCACCCTCCTTCCATGGCCCTAAGCTCTCTGACCTGCTCTGCCCGATGGCAGGCACCCCCTGCCCCTCAAACACACAGGGCCTGACTTCCCAAGGCAGGTACCTTAGCTTTGAGTCCCACATCCGACCACTCAGGTCAGCGCTTGGGAATCTAAAAACAGGGCTCCCTGTCGCCTCAGCTGTGCCTTCAGCACCCTCGCCTCCTCCTTTGGACCCCTTGACGCCTTTGCCTCTCCCCCCAGCCCCAGCCAGGCTCCTTCAGCGCCTCCTCCGGCCCCAGGCCCCATAACACCTACCCTTGTCCCGCCAGTCCTGGGCTGCTCAGCGCCTCCTGACTCTCCCACAATTCCCCAGCTCATCTCTTCAGCACCCCTACATCTCCTATGGGGCTCCCCATGTCTCCCCCAGCCCCAGGACATCTTGGAGCCCCTGCCTTCCTCCAGTCGTGGGACCTCCCCTTCCCCTGCACCTGAGGCTTCCCTCGGGCACTAGCTCCCATTCCCAATCCCTGGGGACATCCTGAGCTTCCCCCAATTCCAGAGGCCAGACAGCTCTGCAGAGCACAGCCCACACCCTGTGACCCTGCAGAGTGCAGTCTCCCCTCCCTTCCGATGCGTGAGGGCAGAGTGGGGCTGTTCCCCCTTGTGGCTAGGGGATCCCGAGTTACAAGGGACTGCCCTTCCTGTGCCGAGTTGCAGGAATATTCAACCCCCTTGCCTCGTGGCTTAAACTCCCTCAGTCCCGGCCCACCTTCGTGACGTGCTCTGAGATCTGCTGATGGAAAGAGCTGGATAAGAGCTACCACTGACGCATACTGCTACTAGTGGCAGGATGGGGGTTACCTTCCTCTGACGCATCAGGTGCTGGCCTCCTTTGGGCTACCTGGATCCCCTTGGCTCTGATCCAGTCCTGCCCCTTCCCTGCACCACTGGTCCAGGCTGAAATCATGGCTGGTACGGGGCCTGGAGAGTTCAGTTCAACCCTGAAAACCCCACTGGCTTCTAAGAAATCCAAGGGCACTGAGCTAACTCGGAACAGCGTGTAGCCCTGCCACAGGGGGATCTAGCTTAGGTACTTACATGGCCTCCATTACCATAGCACCTGAACTCATCCTCTCTGCCAATGCCCGCAGTTCTGTCCCAGTCTTTAAATGCTTCCATTGGACAGATGGAGAAACTGAGGCACAGCAAGGTTAGGTGCAGGAGCCCCCAAGGGTATGTCTACACTACAAAGTTAATTCGAACTAACAGTCGTTAGTTCGAATTAACTTTAATAGCGGCTATACATGCAAACCACTAGCTTGAATTTAATTCGAACTAGCCGAGCACTTAATTTGAACTAGCTAAACCTCATTCCATGAGGACTAACGCCTAGTTTGAATTAAGGGCTGTGTAGCCACTTAATTCGAACTAGTGGGAGGCTAGCCCTTCCCAGGTTGCCCTGGTGGCCCCTCTGGGACAAACCAGGGGAACTTTTCTGCCCCCCCTCCCAGCCCCGGAGCCCTTAAAGGGGCACGGTCTGGCTACAATGCCTGTGCCAGTTGCAAGCCTGCCAGCACCCAGCCAGCAGACCCTGCACCTGGCACGGCATGAGCCAGCCACCCGCTGCCATCCAGCCCTCCTCCTCTTCCCAGGACCAGGCTGGCAGCTCCCAGGAGTCTGCCCGGGGTCGCAAGAGGTGGGTGCCCGCCTGGTCTAGTGCAGAGATCATGGACCTCATTGAGGTTTGGGGGGAGGCCTCCAACGTCCATGACCTCCGCACTAGGCACAGGAATGCAGCCATGTAGAGCAGGATAGCTGCCAGCCTGGCCATCAAAGGCCACATGCGAACCCAGGAGCAGGTCTGCATGAAAATCAAGTTGGTCCAATGAGGCCCCCGACCCTGAGCCCTGAGCTTAGAACATAAGAACATAAGAACGGCCATACGGGGTCAGACCAAAGGTCCATCTAGCCCAGTAGCCTG